GCAACGAAAATAATTTTATGGTTGGGGGTCACCACAACATGAGGAACTGTATTAAGGGGTCGCGGCATTAGGAAGGTTGAGACCCACTGGTCTAGAGGATCGAGTCCAAACACCTTAGACTTTGGCCTATGAGGCCCGCCATGATTGAGTTCCTGCCTCCTCAGCTTCCCTTCTAGTCACACCTGCCTGGCCTGGAACCCAGCACTCCGTCACACCTGTCCTGGCTCTCTGAAGGCTGCTCTGACTTGTGCCTCTGTGGTTTTGGCTGTGCTCCTTTCTCGGTCTATAATGCCCACCTCCACCTTGCCCATCTGGTGAATCTCTACTCATCCTCAAAACTTTGTTCGACCACCTCCTCTTCTATGAAGGCTTTCCTGCCCTCCCAGGTAGAAATGACTCTTTAGTGCCTTAAATGTATTTCGTATACACTTGCCTCATAGCAGCAGTAATCCTGTATTGCACCTACTTTTAAGCTCAAGACATATTCATGTGTATCTCCAGATACAGGTGTTCAACTTGCCTTATGCTAGCATGTCATGTTTGATGAATGAACAACAATAAAAAATGATCCATTTCTGGATCAGTCAGAGGGGCAGCAGCATCCCTAGTCAAGTGGTTTCCAAAGTGGATTCCTGACATTCTTGTCAAGTATGCTATGCTTCAGTGGTTTCCTAAGAAAGCAGGCATTTCTTCTTTCCTGAAGATATTTAAGAATGTGAGAATTGTGCATGTGAGGGGTAGACCATAATTCTGCTGGTCTGCAGGGGACTGGAGTAGATGCATGGTTTCCAGATAATGATAATAATAATATTAACGGTGGCTAATATTTTGAGCCCTTATTCTGTGCCATGCAAAGCACATTCTTTACGTAGGGCTTTACATGTATTAGTTGACAGCCACTCTAAGATATAGATCCTATTATTAACCCTGTTTACAAGTAAGAAAAGGTGTCTCAAATAGGTTAAATGACTGGCCAGAGGTCACAAAGCTAGTAAATGGCAGACCTGGGAAGCAAACCCTGTGATCTGGCTTCATAGCCTATTTGGTATATTCCTTACTCTGAGCTTTGTGAGCCAATAATGGTGGTAGATATGTACATATTTACAAACATATATCCATGACATGCACATCTTATTTGAATTCAGAAAAGGAATTTACATCTGGTTGATACATGAATTTAAATAAGACTTATATTTTGATGGCAACTGTTCCTATTCTAAAAACTGAGGAAAATTCTGCATTTCAATCAGTTAATAACAAACCCATTAATGAGAGCCTGCTGTGTGCTTAGCTGGGGCACAAAGAATCTAAGACATGATCCATTCTTTCAACATACAGACAAGGTAAAACTATAATGCCATGACATTATTTTGAAATCCTATTAAAAGCTACACATCTAAGTAAGTAATCACCTTGCATGGTGATATACTTAGCTATTGCTCAAACTGCTTTTGGAAATAATTTATGAAACACACAAGAATAGTTTTCATTAGTTTAAGCTCACAGTTTATTTTTATCCTAAACAGTGCTATCCATCTTAATCACCATTGTATTCGACATTTGGTTAGTTCTAAAATCTAATTCACCTTCAAAGGAGGAAAATTTGTTACAACTATTTGTGTGGATATATCAAATGAAAACATACATTCATATAGATAGACATAGATGTGTATACATACACATATAGCCTGTGGTTTATGAGGGCAACTCTCAAAGTACTGGACAAATTCAGTACGTGTCCAATAGGAATATAATATTTGCCATATATGCAATTTTGATTTTCTAATAGCCACATTTTTAAAAGTAAAATGAAACAAGTGAAACTAATTTTAAAAATACATCTTATTTAATCTAGTATATAAAAAATATTATCATTCTGACATGTAATCAATATAAAACCTTGAGAAATTTTACATTATTTTTTTCATGCTAAGTCTTTGAAATTTGGTGTGTATTTTATTCTTACAGAACATTTCAACTTGGAATAGCCAAATCTTAATTGTTCAAGAGGCACATGTGGCTAGTGGCTACCATATTGGACAGTGCAAAATAAAATATTTACAGCAATGGCTGTTATGCTACAGTAAAAGTATCCCATCCTCTTCACATATTATTCTGCAAAGTAATGACTTCTTTGTTTTTTTTTTTTTTATTAAACTTATTGGGGTGACAATGGTTAGTAAAATTACATAGGTTTCAAGTGTACAATCCTGTAATACATCATCTGTATATCACATTGTGTGTTCACCACCCGGAGTCAGTTCTTCTTCCATCATCCTATTTGGTCCCCTTTACCCTCTTCTACTCCCCCCCTTCCCACCTTAAACTCTGGTAACCACTAAACTATTGTCGGTGTGCAAAGTAATGACTTTAAGAGGAATAATACATCAATGCAAGTAAAATACTGTTGAGTAATAAATGACAGCTTTTGATCACATTTAATTGGGGGTATAAACTTTAAATAGTGTAACAGTTTGGAGGAAAGGATGATTCAAAATGGCCAAAGTCATCTTCATGGAGGAGCCCAACCCGTCAGTCAAGGACAGGCAGTTGGAGGAGGGGGTATTTTATAACATTCAAGGGTTAACCCTTCCAGATAAGGAATAATGGTACAAATAAGCCAAGAAAAACTTAGTTCAAATAAACCAATGATTACCGTCAACCACACAACTCTGGTAAGATTTCGCTGATTGGACTTGTGAATAGTGAGCAACTCTTTCCTGGCCAAGGACCTTTAGACCCTAAGCAGAGAGGTATTATAAAGCTATATGGAATGTGGAACCAAAATACAAAAATAGTTGAAACCCCAAACAACTTACATCTGGTAACATGTGATTTATAATCTCTCTGGACCCCAGTGAGCTCAAGTAAGTGCAAAGGAAAGTGGACACAACCCTGAGGTCTCTTTATAGGTAGGGTGACCTATAATTTATTGTGCAAACCTGGACACTTTCAAAAGTACAAGGGGGTACTATTAATAATTATGCTGAGACAAGAGGCATAAACTAGGACTGTTTTGCAGCTATAAAACTATATGGTCCTAGTCTACCAAACGGATACGACAGCTACCCCTGTGCAGGGATGCAGAGCTGATGAAAGTGCAGGCATGTTCTCATTACCTCTGCATGACCACAGGGGCTTTGGGGGCTAATATGCATTGATCCGGGTGAGGCCGTTTCGCACCTCCCCCTCAAAGCATTTTCAATTGGTTTGAATTTGGGAACAGGGTTCCATATGGGCAGAGCTGAGCTCTGACAGCCTGAATATATTTACTGAAGACAACAAATCATTGACAGACTAAATTTAACAGAGGAAAGGCCTGGCCTGCTTGTACTCAGAATCTGACTTTGTAATTGTAGCCTCCTTTAGACAGGCCTAATCAATTAGAAGAGGCTGATTTTAACCAGTTGTAGGCTCATTACCCTGCATTCCAGTTTGTGTTGACGAAAATCAGTTTCAGTCTGTGGCCTGGAACTCATGTACAGCACTTCCTGCAGCCTCTTATATAAACACATCAAAAAAAATTTTTTTTTATTTGGAGTTGCCCTTCTCCCTTTTAAGAAAACCACTTTGTGAATCATGATTAAAATAGAACAATTGTATGTGGATCTGGGGCCCATACCAGGAAACAAATAGGACCAAGGAACACATATAAAGTCAGAGCTTAAGAAAGCGAGGAGTGGATTTGAGGCCGAGTCTCAAATATCCAGACTCCAGCATCAAATGAGTCCAGCTCAGTTATCTCCACAGAATGGAACAGAAAAAACCTCTCAGTTATTGAAAATGACGACCTTTCAAAGCAAATGCATGAAAGAGGAAAGAGCCAAGGTCTCAGAAACAGAGGGTGGGGTGAGGGGTGGGATATCTGAGTAGACTCCACACTCTTCCCTGAATGACCAAATAGAAAATAAACAGGAAACTTCCAACTAAACAAGGACAAGTTTCCTTGAGAAGCCTCTCTGAGAGAACCATATATATAACACTATGTTTAATTCTGATGTGTGGTTAGTCTTAACAAAAGTAGGCGGGGGGAGTGTATGGTGGAGCCACTCAAAACCCCACCTATACTTCAAAAACCTGTAATCACTCCAAAATATGATATAACTATGAATCATACCTGGCTGGTTGCCTTTTGTGAGTTTGTCAAGGCAGCGAGTCAACAGGAGGAGAATATCAATATATACAGCTCTCGTCACCAAGCATGGGTTTTGCCTAGAAAGGTAAAGAACAGAAAATAAATGGATATTTTTCTCTGCCTAAGCCTGGGTCACAGAAAAGATAAAATGGGTATTTTCTACCAGGCATGTCATGAGGCTTAGGGAGTTACAGCAAATGGTTTAAAAAAAAAAAAATCACCAATGGTGAGAACACAGTTAAGTGGGAAAATGAAATCCTACAGCACGTGGTGAAGGCCAGGGCTAAGCATGTACAAAACAGATAAAACTCTATGTTCTGGCTCCAAATAACATAAATTGAAACAAACAAAAACCAGTATCCTACCCCAGTTATTTGAAAATAAAGAGATAGGGTACAGGGTGGACTAGATTCTATTATTTTCTTCCTATGTGAACACATTGAGGGGGAAAGTCATTGGTTATGAGTATCACCGATTTAGCATTTTGGAGAAGGAGAATTGCACTCACATATGACAAACCATATCTATGGACTTAAAGTAGCCTGCTGAAAACCAAACCCACGAAAGCATTAACAAACACTGGAGCAGACATGCCTTTCCCAATAAATGGATTTTTTTCTTCTCTCAATAAATGAAGCAGTTCATTTTACTCTTTGACCCACACTCTGGAAAAAGTTAGTGGGCTTGGATTTAGGGGTCTAGATAAAAAAGAAAGAATGAAGACTTTCTTTTGAGAACAGCACCGAAAGTCCCTGGCTCTGAGCCTCAGTTCAGACTGACCGTGAAAAGGGCCCAAACCTCCTTGGTGTACTAATAATTCAGCACAAGTAGGAAAAACAGTAGAGACAGGTCTGGGTTTGAATCCTGGCTTTGCTGTTGATAATCTCTGTGACCTGAATCAGAGTCCTGACCTGTACAAAAGGAGCCCCAATCACCTCTGTGAGTTTCTGTGAGCATTCGGTGTGGCACAGCCAACTAAATCACCTATCTCGGTGCCTGGCCATGGCAGACGCTCCCTAAGTGTTCGTTCATTCCCGACCCTTCTCTGCCTCCAACAGATCAGGGAACGGCACTGTGTTCTGGCTAGTGGATTTCCATTTCCATGATCCCTGAACCCGTCCTTCTCATTCCCTGTAAACGAACAGTTGACCATTTCCCTGAAGTTTATTCCCAGTCTACCCTGAACGGCGGCACACATCCAAGGCTAGCATATGTTCTAGTATGAAAAGCAAATCAGATACTTTTAATTCAAAACAAAACTGTCTTGTTTCAAGGTTCTCTGTTGCTGACCTGTCTCACTGCCGTCCCCCTAACTGGCTTCCCTTACAGTGTCTGCCTGCTCCTTGGCTCCTGTCCTGCCCTAACTCCTCGTTTATATGTCGACCTTGTGTTTGGCCTAATTTCATACCTGCACCTGGTTGTTTTTTAAAAATTAGTTTTAAAAAATAGGTAACATATGCACATGGCATGAGAATAATTCAAACAGCACACTGTACAAAACGGCATGCAGTGAAAATCAAGTTCCTTTTCCATGCCCCACCCACAGTCTGTTCCCCGAGGCAACCATTATTACTACTTTTCAGGATATCCTTCCAGGCACATTCTATTCATTTACAAGCATCTATCCAGAGCTACCCACTTGTTTATTTTTACACAAACTAGTGGTTTACTATATATAGTAAGTCCTAACTTAACATTGTCAATAGGTTCTGCAACTTTAAGTGAAAGGCCAAATAAGGAAACGAATTTGACCAGAGGCTAATGGATATAAACAAGAGTTCAGTTCCTACAACGTCTCATCAAACTTATAATGAAATGATGTTGAACGAAACAACATTATTTGAGGACTTGCTGTACTAAGTTCTGAGCATTACGTTTTTTTCACTAATATACTTTGAATATCCTTCTACTAAAAACATAAGAGATTTGCCTCATTTTAAAAAATGGTTGTAAACTGTTCCATTTCATGGATGTACCAATCCCGTATTGAAATGATTCAGATTGTTTAAGACATTTTGCTGAAAACAATGCCATAATAAATATGTACATACATCAGTTTTGTGCATATAAATGAGTACTCAGAGAATTTCCTAGAAGCTGAATCAAGCTTCTGGAATAAAGATATTTGCACATTTAAAATTTTGATTGCTTTTGACAAGATGCTCTCCAAAGAGACTACCAATTTCACCCAACAGTGTAAGAATTCCAGTTTCCCCACAGTCTGGCTAACACAGTGTATTATTAAACTCTTGATTTTTGCCAAGATGATAAGTGAAAAATAATATCTCGTTGTTTTAAATCACAATTATTTTATTATAAGTGAGGTTGAACACCATCACTTCATATGTTTTTCAAAAAAGATACTTGTAAGCTGTATTCAAAATCTACGTCCATTGTGTTGTTGGTCTTTTTCTTATTGATTTGTAGGAACTCTTTGTATATTAAAGAAATCTGTTCTTTATCACGTGTTATGAATGTTTTTGCAGTTTATCGTTTGTCTTTTAACTTTATAATTTTATTTTGCAATTCAAAAATTTCAGTTTTATGCAAATATATTAATTTTATTTATAGCTCCTGGATTTTATGTCACACAAAGTCTAACCCTTCTCCAAGATTTATATATATATATAAAAATGTTTTGCCATATTTTCTTCTAGGATTTTACAGTTCCTTTTTTTTGTTGTTGTTGTTGTTTAAAACATTCATCTAATTGAAAAATTTCCCCCCAATCCTGCCCCTATTTTTTGTCTCTATCCAGTTTTCCCCAGGTCTCTCAATCATAATTTCCTGTCCTTACTCTTCTACTCACTATGAAAAGCCCACAGTCTATGAAACCTTCAATGATATTGTTTACAATTCTAGCATTTCCACTGTTTAACAGGTAGGACCTTCCTCTTGCCAAAGAAAAGGTCACTCGAGAAAGAAAGTGAGAAAACCCAATGCAGGGGGTTAATGAGTCATCAGATATCTAGCACAGGGCTGAGTGAATGGCCTGCAGACAGCAGATGGAACCCTCCTAAGCATCTAGCCTTGAGTTAGGTGCTAGGAGGAAATGCACATGAGATGATTTGTGGTCTTAGAGAATGTCGTCTAGTATAGAGACAAAACTAAAGTCAAACATTGGGACAGGAATTAAGGAGTTAAGAGAAAGAATATAGCAGGGTGGACTGGAGAAATATAAAGGGTTTATGAAGACATAATTCCAACTGAGCCATGAAAAATGGGAAAAATTTAGACAGACAAAGTTGACAAGGAAGGGCATTTTGAGAGGGGGCAATAGAGGTGGGAAGGGATTAGTCTGGCTTGTCTAGGGACCTGGGGAGACCAGACTGAGAAGATAAGAGAATGTGTTGAAAAGGTGGGAACAGGAGCAAGGCAAGCCAGGCTTTTAGGAGATGGGATACTCTGTGCTAACTGGTGCTTTTTAGTGTTAAAATGTACCGCCTGCTCCCATGTGGCCTCACAGGGTAGCTTCTCATGCTGGATATTTTTCTGTTGGTGGAACCATAAGGGCAAGTTTGAGGGAACTGGTCTGACTTTCAAGTCTGATGAAGAGCCTAGTTTCCATGAGATTTTTAGCTAAGTTAATATATTTTTTAAAATTTCTAAATGAATATAGGAAAGGTTGGCAATCTGTAAAGCCCCCAGCCAGGCTGAAGTGCTCTGCATCTTCTCCTGACCTGGCATAGGCCGGTGACCCTGCTATCCTCTTGGAATACTTCAGGGACCACTCTGACCGCTCCCGTAACTGTGAAGCTCTAGGCCAAGTCTGAGGTAGTCAACGAGATCATGGGAGGCTCCCTCAAATGCTGCTGCTTTTGATTCCAGGAAAAAGAGAGGATCTGGACCACAGAGGCATCCATCCATGGCTTCTCCTTAGAGACTGAGCCAGAGAGAAATGCTGGCCTGCAGCCCACCGTTCATGGCTCCACCCGTGAACACACCACAGCCGCAGCCATAGCCGTATAACATCCCCGTCTGGAGTCAGAGTTGGGCTTCACTCTGAACTGGCTTCTAAGTCAGGAAAATAATTTTTTTTCTCTTTCTTTTTTTCTCTCACTATTACTTGGTGTTTGTTCTGACTTGGAAATGGTACACTGTGAGTTCAGGGTGAGCCAGAGGTTTGTTCTCGGTCTGTCAAGCCACTTTGATGATGGGAATAGAATCCTGGGAAGAGCAAGCCAGCTGGACAGGAAACCAAGCCACAGGGTTTTGGTGGGCTCGGGGCTTTTTTCTACCCCCAAATGGAAAAACCCTGGCATGGGGCATGGTATAATGAAGATTTAGAGTGTTTGAAAAAATCTGAAGTGGTCAGGGTCTAACAGATGGGCTAAAAAAACAGCCAGACAGTGGCTTTAGAAGGAGTAGCAGGAATCAGGTACTATGAGAACTACGTTTACATATATAAAATGAAACGAAGGACTTGTTAAGAATCTTGCTTTCTCCCACTTTTTAAAATCATTTGTCCCTTGACAAGTATCTACCCGAGAACCTGATTAATACGTTTTTGTCTTGGGAAATCTCTGAACTTCATTAAACCTCCTGCCCTGTCTCCTGGAAATTGGGGGGCGGGGGGCAGAAGGCAGGGCAAAGAGAGTAGGGATTCCCAGACACGTCCACAATGGCTCTAGTGTCTAGAGGACAGCAGGAGCTCTTGGGAAATCTGTGATAAATTATTCACTTCTCCTGTCCTTGCTGGAATCCCAGTGGCTGCAGAGCTTTTTCACTGAGGCCCATTCATTCAGAAAACATTTACTAAGAGGAGAGCCAGGAATAGTGCCAGTGTTTGGAAATATGAAATGATTCAGTGACACAGTCACTGCCCTCAAGGAACTTAGAGTCCTGAAGAGTGTTTTCCAGACTGTAGGTTATGACCCATTTTGTTGGTTATGAAATCAACCAGTGGATGGTGACCAGCAGAAGAGAAAGAAAGGAAGGAAGGGAGGGAGAGAGAGGGGTAGGGAGGAAGGAAGAGGAAGAAGAGAGTAAGCTAGGGAAGGGAGGGAGGAGAAAAATATAATCAGAGTGCATCAAAGTAATAAAGGTAGCATTGTTTCCTTACTCGTAAAGTTCTTGC